TCCACTCACCTCGGCCTCCCAAAATGCTGGGATTACAGGCTGAGCCACCGAGCCCAGCCTAACCTCATTTTAAAAAGTAAAAAGAAATAAGTAAAATTAATGTTAGTAGCAACTTTTATCTAACCTAACATATCTAAAATATTATCATTTTAACAGGTAATTAATATTAAAAATTAATGAGATATTTTACATGTTTTTATTTATATGAAATCTTTGATAGTGTGTATTTTATACTTACAGCTCATCTTAATTTGGACACTACATTTTCACAGAAATCAAATGGAATACTTTAGCTTTCACTAAGCTTACAGTTGAAAATGTATTCATTGAGCAGTATCTTCCATATTGCACTGTTTATCCAAGGTTAAAAATAAGTAATTGCAATTTTTCAGATTTTGAATCAACAGATTTTTTTATATCTATAGAAAGGATCTGGCTAAATGTGAAGGGTCATGCCTATAATCTCAGCACTTTGGGAGGCTGAAGCTGGAGGATTGCTTGAGGCCAGGAATTTGAGACCAGCCTGGGCAACAAAACAAGACTCACCCCCCATCACTACAAAAAAAAAAAAAAAAAGGATTTAGCTGGGCGTGGTGGCTCATACCTGTAGTCCCCACTACTCCAGAGACTGACAAAGGAAGATGGCTTGAGCCAGGAGTTGGAGGCTGCTGTGAGCCACGATCCTGCCACTGCACTCCCTCCTGGATGACAGAGTGAGACCCTGACTTGGAAGGAAGAAGGGGAGGAAGGGAAGAAAGAAGGATCTTGTCTAGGCCATTGTTTGGGGCTTAATTGAAGAGCTGACACTTCTGTAGAAGACTTTTTTTAGTCCTTTCCTCATAATTTTTAACAAATTTCCATAGCTAAAAACAATTTGTCATCTCCCTATTTAAAATAGTTTTTGTGCAAGAATTCAAACCATTTTAGAGCTGGCCAAATTGTAAATTCAGATCTGTTAATAAATGTTCATCCGGGCACAGTGGCTCATACCTGTAATCCCAGCATTTTGAGAGCCAGAGATGAGAGAATTGCCTGAGTCCAGGCATTTGAGACCAGCCTGGTCATCTTGGTGAGACCTCATCTCTGTAATAAAGCAAAAAAATTAGCCAGGCGTGGTAACACGCTCTTGTGGTTCCAGCTCCTTGAAAGGCTGAGGTGGAAGGATCACCTGAGCCCTGCAGGTCAAGGCTGTGTGGTGGCTGTGAGCATGCCACTGCACTCCCAGGGTAAGACTCCTACTCAAAATAACAACAATAATAATAATTATTATTATTTAAATGTTTGTTGGACATTTAATTCCAATTCCAGGCAACTAATTTTCTTGATTCTTTTTTTATTTGATTTTGTTTTCTTTTCTTGAGAAGAAACTTCTTATAAAATTCTCTAAGAGCCGGGCTCGGTGGCTCAGCCTGTAATCCCAGCACTTTGGGAGGCTGAGGTGAGTGGATTACCTGAGCCCATGGGTTCAAGACCCGCCTGGGCAACTTGGTGAGACCTCACCTCTACAATAAATCATAAACTAGCCTGGTGTGGTAGCGCTCGCCTGTAGTTCCAGCTACTTGGAAGGCTGAGGCAGAAGGATTGCTGGAGCCCAGCAGGTGAGGCTGCAGTGGCCGGGAGCGGTCACTGCACTCCAGTCTGGGCGACAAAGTGAGACTCCAACTCAAAAAAAAAAAAAAAATTCGCTAAGTATTTGTTGAAAATGTCTCTTCATATTATTCACTTAATTATCTTATTTTTTTCCACAGCAGACATTTCTTTTTTCTCTGCTGCATCAAATTGCAGTTGTCATTTATTGTGAAATTTGTAACATGCCTTGTTCCATTTCAGTATTATTTTCTTTCTACGTGAAATATTAAAATAAGCAAATTCCAGTGTCTTATCAGTGTGTAGAAAAAGATAATTAGAACTGAATCAGTTTATTGACACCAGGAAGATCAGTGATATTTATAATACTAGAAACAACGCATGTCCCAATATACATACTATAATATCTTAATGTTGCAACTGTTAAAGTCAAATGCTTTCCATTGCTTCTATTTTTAAATTTAGATTTAAATTAGTTAAAATGAAGTTAAAAACTCAGTTCCTCAGTTGCGCTAACCACATTTCAAGTGCTGTATAACATTGTTTTTCAAACTTTTGTTGCCAGCCAACTAATTCAGTGAGTTGACCACCATTTTTTTTTAATGCAAAGTAGTATGGAATAAAACAGAATAGAAAATATTATTGTGGCATACTTAGTAAGGATTTTTTTAAGACTTGTTTCAGTATATATGTTACATATATACAGGTAGGTAACAAAATAAAAAGTAAATATCTTACTCTGAGGTACAGTGAAAAGTTTTTGTAAAGCACTTTTCTATAGCACCTAGTACATTGCCTTTCACATAACTGATTGATTGATTGATTGATTGATTTTTGAGTCAGAGTCTCACTCTATCACCCAGGCTGGAGTGTAGTGGCACACTCATGGCCACCCCAGTGTCCACTTGCTGGGCTCAGGCGATCTTTCCGCCTCAGCTTTCTAAGGCTGGAACTATAGGTGCACACTACCACACCTGGCTAATTTTTTGGTATATTGTAAAGACAAGGTCTCGCCAAGTTGCCCGAGCTAGTTTCAAACCCACAGGCTTGGGGAATCCTCTTGTCTCTGCCTCCCAAAGTGCTGGGACATTATAGATATATTTAAAATATTAGCTAAATTGAATTGTGATTAGTGGCACACATTTGTAAGATGATAGTTTTCAATAATAATTTTTTAAAATGCTATTTAAATAATTATTCCATACAAAGCTAGATGCAGATGCTAGATAGAATTAGGTAAAGCTAGAGAGGCAGTTTGGAGTCATATTATGACATACTAATAATTTAGGATTATTCTGTAGGAAATGATGAGTCATTAAAGGATTTTAAGCCAATGAGTTGTGTACAAGATTGTTCTGACAAGAAAAAACAGTAATTTAAGATTATCACTCTGACCTGTTTTTACTTCTATTTGCCCTAGAGTCAAAAATCTTCATTCTGTCTAAGCCTTAAAGTGTAAGATATCTTTCATTCTATAAAAAGCTCTTTTCTCTAGTGCCTAACATTCCTTTGTCTCTTTGCATATGTGTTGGTAGAATTACTCTAACTATTGCCAGCTTCTACCCTCGGGCTCTCCCATGGAGGTTTATGGGCCTACCATGCCCCGTTTCCCTGGCCTACCAGTGTAATTTTCTCTGGTCTCTAAAAAACCCCTGAAATCATTGCTTCCTGGACTAATCAGAATAACTGCCCCTCTAGGTTCTAATCCCACTGTCTGGGCAGGAAAAACCATCAGTGGCTATACTCCAAGTTTTCCACTGCAATTATTTATTTACTATCCATATGATTCTCTTATCTTACTATGCTTTTGACCTGTATAACCTTTCATAAATGTTTCTCTCCCTTCATATGTGGGTTTAATGTTTGATGATGGTAGTTGTTGTTTTTGTCTTTTAGACTTCAAGAGTGGAGAGTTGAGTTAAACGTGCTTCTTACTTGGGGCACATGAGCATATCTATTTATCTCTGTTTTCATTTATTCTTTCATTTATATTTCCCATTCCTATTCCCCTCACTCCTCCCAGGACACCTCTCAAATGCTTTAATGTGCATATCTTTGTCTGTGTTCTTCTGCAACATGTGTATTATTTTTTATGCATCCCAGAAGTTCAAGACTGGCCTGGGCAGCATAGTGAGACCTCGTCTCTACAAAAAATAATCAGCTGGGTGTGGTGGCATGTGCTTGTAGCTCCACCTACTTGGGAGGCTGTGGTGAAAGGATTTGTTGAGCCCTGGGTTTGAGGCTGCAGTGAGCTGTGATCATGCCACTGCACTCCAGCCTGGGTGACAGAGTGAGATTCTAACTAAATAATAATA